AATTACTCAATAAATTTACATAAAATTAGGATTCATACCAAACTGTAATATATCAACGTAACCAACAAGACAAATAAAGTCATACAGTATCTCTGGATAACCTTATGATATCAGAATAATCCAGGCGTCAAAATCCAGGAACTGGAAAATGTAATTAGGTCATTTTGACCAGATTTGACTTAATCCTCATTTCGATATGATGGGTCACATTTTTGTACTGGTGGTGTGATTGCAATCATACAGAGCAGCTTCTATTGTGAATGAAAACACACAGACACACACACACACACACACAAGCTCGCGTCCATGTATTCATGCAAATGTGCGCACACACAAACCTGTGTCCAGACATGCAGCTGTGAGAATGAATGCTTCCACTGTGGAGGCTAAATACTAATTCCTTTTCAAATACTTGCTCCTTCCATTCGGGAGTCTGGCTGCCTTTTAGGGACTGATTTATTTATTTATTTCATTTTTAGTTTTGTGGTTTTAGGAATGTGCTTCCAGCATCAACAAACTCTGACGGGAACTAAGAACTGTGAAGACAGACATCTCAAACTGTTACGGTGCAAAATAGTTTGTTTTCCTGACTTCTAATCAATGGGATTCATTAAGAAACCGTTTTAAAAGATGTCAGCCGCTATCACACACATGAGCGAACAAAGTTGTAATGGCCCCCTTTCTAACGTGAAGACCCTTTAGGAGCGTCCCTGTGGCCTTAGATTAACAGGCCTTTCTGTTAACAGTAGCAGATTGTCGTCACAACTCGTTTTCGCCTCGAGCAGCGAGGAAACACTCGAGTGAGGAGGAGACCTGAGACAGAGTCAGAATTTAAAATGGATAGGAGCGCTCATCTCCTGTCAGTGCAGAGACAAGACAGTGACTGTTCAGTGTGTGTGTGTGTGTGTGTGTGTGTGTGTGTGTGTGTGTGTGTGTGTGTGTGTGTGTGTTAAACGGAGAGAGAGAAAACGCTGAGTGGTCACAATCTTCTCTTTCCATGATTGCCCTAATACTGTCTCATTTCCCGCTTCACTCTCTCCTCTTTCTCTCTGTTTTCTCTTCTCACAATCTCTCCCCACTTTATTTTATTTCTCTAATTTTTCCTCCCTCCATCACTCGGTTTTCTTCCTTTCACTCCATCTGTCCTCTCCCGTGTCACCTTCCCACTTATCTATCCATTCAGCTGCAACAGAGACCATCCCAGGTACGGTCTAATTAGTGGCCAAAGCTATCAGCCTTCTAGTCAGCGAACTAGGACTAATTGCTGGCATGATGATGACTCACCACATGGGTAGCTGAGCACTTGAATGTCATCTATGGCGATGAAGCCAGCTTTGCTCTCCCAGACCTCTGCTTCAAAAATAACCTGGAAAAAAGAAGGGCAAAGGTCTTATTATCACGGTTCTTATTATCATCAATATTTCATATGTCTCTGTGATACATAGACAGGCACAGATAGTATTTTTCACATACTTGTAGAGTAGAACAAAGCAGACATTTACACACAAACATATGGAAAAAAATCTGTTGTGTAAAATATTTAGAGAAAATCAAACAAGAACAAAAACAATCAGTCACAAAAATTGTTGATTTATGTTTTATTTTGTTCAGACAGCGGTTCAATTTGCTGCCAAAGTTATTGCATTAAAGCAAATCTGAATCAAAGCTTTGAAAAGCTATTTTAAAAAAGCATTTCAGATGCATTAATTGGAATAAATAAACTAATTTGAGTAGTGTTGCCTATAATGATGGTATAAACAATGTAGATAAAGTTAGCCTAAAAAGAAACAAACCATAAAAAAAGAAAAAAAAACTGATTTTAGAAAAGATTTCAGCTTCTGTAAAACAATGATCTGTCAGCGAAGTTATTCTGGCCAGAACTAGAAACAAGTGGTGAGTCACGTCATGCAATGTCAGAAGTGATTTCCAAAAACCGTTTCCATTCCCTTAATGCACATCAAAGGCCAACATCACCTCAAGCAAGCACATACACGTTTTCTTCATTCTTCCCTCTCCACTTCAGATAACTTTTAATATCTACTTCTTTGAGTTTGTTGCGTTGCCTGGCAGCTTTGTCCAAGCTACAAACTCTGAAATAAACTGGTTTTAATTGAACTATGTAGAATCTGGCTGAGACTGTAAGAACACTGAATTGACTGAATTGATTTTACTGTTTTCATTTCATGAAATAAACAGAATATTTGATTTGTTCTCATCAAGGCCTGTCGTGATAAGCAATAAATCAATTTATTGCGTGATAAATTAGAAGGAGGGTGCACCACGGGGCACTGTGCCAAACCTTGAGCTTCCTGAGTATTTTTTTATTATTATTATTATTATTATTACACTACGTAAATTTGATGAACTTCATAAGCAGCTGTTGTGTGTTTTCACTAACTTTGCTCCGTCCGTCCATAACTTTACGTAAATTTCGTAAACGTCCGTAAATTTCACATACCGTTTGATTAGGGGAGTGTGAAGCAATTTTACAGCTTCAGCAGCTGTTTGTTGTTGTGTTTCTAAAGTCAGGTGCAGTTCAATTCTTAACATTTTTCCAAGTACATAAATTTCATTAACTTCTGTAAGCTTCGTAAGCATGAGTGCAGGGGTTGTTAGCGTAGTTGAAAATGGTTTCCAAAAAAAAATAGTCATTTATCGCAATAATCTCTGAGGCAATCATCCAGCAAAATTTGTTATTATGTCGTGTACTCTCATCCACGATTAGCTCTATCAATATCACACTTAAGAATAAATTATCTAGTAATTTTAGCTGGCTAACAGAAGGCTTCCAACAACAATGTGAACCAGGTACGAGACCTTGTTGGCGTCCCAACAAAGACCTGGGAAGCCAGTGCTCTTGATCACCTCGAGTTGCGATCGTTGTGCTTTAAGGAAGTAAGAAATCACTAATGCCAGCATCAAGCCTCCTTCAACAACGCAAAACCCAAGATGCCTAAATGATAACTTTGTTTGTCCCGTATGTCAACAAAGACATCCCTGACCAACTGGACTTATCGACCACTACAGAACTCCTCTACAATCCTAACTTAGAGACAACAGAGGTCCACTGGCAACAATGGCCCATCTATCATTCTCAGTATGTATTGTATGCATAAACATTAATAATTCCATATTAAAACTTGATTTTCTTAGAGCAAACCAGCATAAATAACATTTTATTTGTTTACAAAGTTGACAAATAAAAGTTCCCGCAAACATTTGTGAACTAAAACCCACCAGAGAGAGTTTCTCAGCACAACCGGAGATTTTGGTGAAAGGTTGCAGTGTAAGAGAAGTGAGCTGTTTTACTTGTTTTGATTCAATCTGGGGATAAAAATGCAACATTTTCTACTCCAGCTTAACCATGATAAGCTGATTACTGATTTCTGTGGTTTTTCTGATCCAATACTCCACTGATGGACCGCTTCCCGTTACAATGGATAGTCAGCATGTGTGGGACTGAATGTGTGCGCAAGCTTTAGATCAGGGGCTACAACAGGTGTTTCAGTTCCCTTTAAGTTCATTAACCATTTGGAAAAAAAGCTGATTCTCTTCGTCATCTTCAAAATGACTCTTCTTCATTTCTTCCTCTTTGTGGAATGGCCGTCGATCCATATTGTTCCGTCAACATCAATTTCTCATCATTTCCTCACTGTAATTTTTTTCTTTGTCTCGCCCGCCATCTGTGTTCCAACACTGTTTGCTCGAAGAGAGGCGCCGTAATGAACGGAGAAGACAGACGAAGGGGGAGAGAATGGGAGGTAGCCATGAACATCAGAGGCAGAGGGAGAGAGGGAGGGAGCACAGGGGTGAGCAGTTGTTGTCATTCATCACCTGTAAAAGGAAATCTGCCATGAACTGTTTACCCATAGCTTATCATCTCCTGCTTGTCACTGCCTCCCTCAGTCTTCCTCCCTTCCCAATCTATCTTGTCTCGCTTTTCTATCATCTTTCACACTGAGCTCACTGTAAAAAGCAGCAAAAAGACATCAGCTAAATTTGATTATTTTTATCGTCGTCTTTCAGCAGCTCACCTGTCCACCTGTCTCTCCATCAGAATGATTATCAGCTGTAATAATAATAATAATAAGCAAAAAAATGAGTGCTTAACTCATGTTAACACAGCCGATGCTTAACGGCAATCATTTTTTAACGTGCGTTAACGCAATAATTTCTGTCGGATCTCCGATTAATCGCGATTAATCACAAAAATATCTTGAAGTTAATCGCGATTAAAATTATTAATCTACACCCCGCACTAAAAAAAAAAATACAAATCTATGGAAAACTCTACACAGCTCCATAACAGCAAAATAAGTTGTTGACAGAGAAGATTTGGCAAGTTTTATCATGTGCGCAACCCATATACTCAGCTCTGCAGCTCATCCCACAAATGCATGTTCCTTACAAATGTGGCACCATGCATGCTCACAACCTCACACAAACAGGTGTTTACATCCTGGGTTTTCTATTCGGGCACTGACTGAATGGTATGTGCATATGTGTGTGTGTGTGTGTATATAT